AAGTGGGGGAGGGGAGCTTTGCAATAATAAACTGCCAATGAAAGTGCAAAGCAAGCTGCATAAAACCAAGCGGCATGCATTTCAGCCTCCAAGGTTACATGGGATTCAATATGGCTGAAGCACACCACAGGTATAGACTTAATGCCGGGGTGTGATGCACCACAGCACAGAGCAGGCAGACTAAGCAGTCCAGACAACCTCTTCGACCCAAACTGGAGTGGCATTTTGTAATACTTGAAGCAATCTTCCCCTGGGAAGGGCAGGCAGAAGAATGGACACGTGCCCTCTCATCCTGGAGCCAATCTCACCAGGCAGGAGGAATTCCCCGGAGCTCACAGCTGAAGTTCACAGTGGCTAAAACAAGCACAGCTTAAAAGTTAAACAATCATTTGTTTCAGGTTTATTTTAATCATTAGCTTGGGGACTTCCAAGATGATTACTTTGTGGGTTAATTATTTTCTGTGCAGTAGCTTTCCAAACCTAATTGCTCAACTTCATTATTGTACATAGTGATCCATAGCCAGTTCCCAAAATCACCTGTCCAAATATTTTCCATTTTGATTATCACCAAGAATAGGCTATTTCTCTTCCTGAGTTGAAATTTTGCATAAATGACTTGGTTGGGAGACACATGTGTGATTTTTGAAGATTAAATTGAAGATATACCAGGCAAATGATAGAATTCAGTTTGTAATACTACCAGAATTTAGAAGGAGACTTTTAAGGGGATTTCCCAAGTGAAGCCTGATGAACCTTAGACCAATGGTTCTCATACTTTAACAGGCACAAAAATTGCCTGAATATTGTTAAAACCAGGTTTCTTGAGCTCCATCCCCAGAGATTCCATAACTCAGGGATTTGTTTTTCAAATAGGTTCATGGTAATACCAATTCTACTGGTCAAGGGTAAACTTGAGAACTACTGTTTGAGGCCAGTCTCCACAAATAAAAGTTCCTCCACCTTTGACTCAGAGTTCAGTTTTATTCTAACTTCAGCATCAACATGACTTCAACATCAAAGTTCCCCAGGATAGTACTTATCCTAATATATGAGTCTGCCTTTCCATTGGATGGCATTTGACAGCAACATCATACTTCATAAAGACACTCATGAATGAGAGCTTCCAGAGCTGCTCTACTTCAGAAAGTGGCAAGAATGAATGTTTAAAGCAAGGGGAAGTATTTTGCAGGGTGAGAGTAATGGCAATGTATCTTTTATAGTAATAACTTTTAAAACTTTAAGCATTCACCATATATTTTGATAGCACCCTATAATTAGTCCTTCTCTAGTCAGCTGGATGCACTATTTCCTCCAGACCCTAGAATACAGAAAGGATAGAAACCATGAAATGAAAAGAGACATGTTAGGGTACCAGGGAATATCCCCAGGATCAGCACCATGCCTGTGAGATAAGGGGACTTGATCGATAGACTTTCGATGAATACATGAGTGCAAAGCTTCTATATTTCAGGCAAGAGATCTTAAATCAAGAATATGCAAGTACTCATGTTTTATTCACATTGAATTACTTCCCAATGTCTTATAAAGTGGCATATGGATTTTTGTGGGAAATGGGAAGTAAATAATAATTTAAATTCTTCTAGGACACTGGAACCATAGTATGAATCACTATGCAAAACAAATCCTATACAAACATAGCCAGGTACTGTCGGGCACACTTGTTTCAGCTACTCCAAAGTTTGAGAAAGGGGATCACTTGAACCTAGAAGGTCAAAGCCAACTGGGGAGTATAACAAGATCCCTAACCTAATGATTAAATCAATTTATTAATTTTTCAAAGACATGGCTCATTTAAGTTTTTAACCTTGGAATTTCTTCAAGTGAAAAGCACTGCATTTTCATTTTAAGAATCACCAACTTTACTTCTTATTGAACAAAATAGAAGTATGCATTTTGCCTAATGTTTCATACCTGAAATCATAAAAACATAGCTTTCCTTTCCTGTGCTTGCTGGTTGGACCCTAAAATCTGGATTATTTTAATAATGCATCTTTAAAAAACTTTCATCTGCTATACCACTAATTTAAGATGAGTCAACTCAACTTTGACCAGGGTTTCATTATTAAGGGTAAGTAAATCAGGCACTAGAAAATCCCCCTTGGGCGGGAAACAATTGTTGTAGACTTTTAATTTATGAATTACCTAATGTACCTGAGCTCCTGATAAGGTCACTGGCAATGTCTTTCTCCACCCATTACTGTAAGTCATCAGTTTTAAAGATGTTCTTTCCCTAAAGAGAAAGTACACCTTGTCCTAGGTAGAGACCCCTCTGGGTCTTCTTTGCCCTCCCAGGTGGAACAACTCTATGAAGACAGGAGAGAAACTCATCTCTGTTCCCTACCCAGCATCACCTCTGCCCTACAGAGATTGGGGATAAATGAGCTGCAGAATTTTTAAACTAAATCTTTGAGAAGGTAGTAGTTAAATTTCCTTCTGCCAAAAAGATAATAAAGTTCAGAGAAGATAGATCCCAAGATTGTCCCACCTCAATGGCACAGATAGGGAGTGACCCCAGGACCTAGATTTAGTGGCAGTTCCTCTGTGTCCTCCCCAGAAGGACATTGTCGCACTACTGAAGGAGATCCCACCCCACCCACACCCCTGCCACCTGACTCACGATTCTGCCACAGGATATCTAAAGGGGAAGATAAGTGCAGAGTGCTATCAACAACTTTCAATTCACCAAATATTTATTGAGCACCTGCTATGTGACTGGGGCTACACTGTTGTGACAGCACAGGAATGAATATGACACAGTGACACAGTAATAAATTACAAGGTGCTTACAACCAGGAAAGTCTATTTTTCATCACTTTATAATAGCTGTCCCTCTGTAATGCTTTGCAAACTGAAGTATGCCCAAGTGTGTCTGGAGCCACAGATTAAATGGTTGTTACTTTTTTTCAAGGTTTGCATTTTCCTTCAAGATACACACACACACACACACACACACACACACACACGCACGCACGCGCACACACACACCAATACTTTCTAGAGATAAACAGATACTTTTTAAAAATAAACAAGAACAGGAGTTCAAAGACTTCTCTCCCTTTTCACCTTCACTCTGGAGCCCCTAATTTGTAATTAGCTAATCTTTACAGTGAGTACTTCAAGAAGATTTGGTTCAGATTGTTTTCTGAACCAGCATTAGGATGAGAAGAAATCTGAAGAACTTTTCCATCAGAATCTAGAATTGAGAACAATGATGCACAAATGCTTTTAGAAAAGCTGAGTTGTTTTGACTCAATAAACATTTTGATTTCCCTCCATTTGCACTGGACTGTTTCCACTGCTGCTGTGCTCCTGGCTCTCTCAGTCCCAAGGAAAGCTGATCTGTTGTTTTTCAGTCTTGTCCTTGGCCTCTACCCTTTGTGACCAGCAGAGTTTGGATCCTGCTTGCCCCTACTATCCTGCCCTGCTATCTGCCTCACCTGCCCCCAGGGGCTGGAATGGCTGCGCATCCTCCTTCTGTAGCCAGGCAGAGGTGCTGCCCTGTGGACCATTGTTTCACAGGCCACACCACTGTGATCCCCATGGCTGCCCATCAGGGCAGTCAACAGCTGGAGACGCCTCCTGTCCTGGCCCCATGAAAGGAGGCCTGCCCAGGATTCTTGGACCATCAGTTCATAGGTCACCACAACCAGAGAACAATCTGTATTATTCAAGGAGCTTCAATTCATTTTCCCCTGCTCCTCCCCCACGGTTACCCCTGAGAAAAAGCTAATTTGCAGAAAAATAGCCCCTGCCAGCTAACTTTTTCTCTGAAATGAATGCTGACCCCCAATTCTTGTCTCACTGAATCCTTATTCTCCAAGTTCTGAAAAGCAGGCTTCGCCTTTAAAAACCTCCCCCAGCCTTCTCGGCACCTCTGTGGGAGAAGCTTTCTTTTCCTTCTATTCTTCGTGTCTCTTCTTAACATGTGTGCTGAAATTGGCACTTTCTCTTTTCACTTCACTCCGTTTCTCGTATTAATGTAGGCAGCAGTGAAGAAATGTGTGCAATTTTTCCAGTGTCTGCACTCGGCGCACCCATGGGTGATGGATGAAATGTAACAGGCTCTCCCTTACATATCACTATTTAAGCGGGGCACCGGCCGCCTGGTGATACATAGTGTTACCCGCTGCACCCCACGCACACAGGGAGCCAGGCTGCAGCCACCGTTGTCTGAGTAAATAATGGGGCTAATGGCCTTTGGTGCAAATGAGACTCCTATAGAACAGCCAGGCTTGTTTATCTGGTTATTATTTCTCTTTATTGTGAAGCTTTCTCTCTCTTCTCCAGGGTGTCTGCCTTGATGGGGAGGAGTAGGGGGAGCAGAGGCAAGGTCTCACGCAGTTCAAGATTTTGTAACTAATATTGAACGCCAGGGAGAATGGATGCCAAGGTCAGGTTAAGAATAAAGAAAATTGATTTAGAGGTCAGGGTCATGATGTGAAAGACCCTGAATGCTGCCAAAATATTTTCATTATTGTTGTTTTTTGTTATGGAAAAGACCAGGCCCCTTGTAAGGAAAGAAGGAGGTTTAGAGAAAACTAGGAGAATCAGAACTCTGTGGTTTGTTAAGTTTGTGTTTTCTCAGTTTCTTTGTCTAGTGTTTGCCTTCCTTTTAAAATATGTAGATGGACATTGATAATGAAGCTTTCCTCCTCAAAACCAAGCACTTCTGGACTTGGGCTGATTCTCTCTCTCTCTCTCTCTGTTTCTTTCAAAAACTGAAGAGACAAGTTCTTCCAGTTCTATTTACAGGAGTAAACTATTTCATGCATCACTGTGATTCTACTTTTCAATCATGCCTACAACATATCTACAACTCAGGGCTGTATATTTTAACAAAATCCTGTTATTATTGGAGCTCTGACCTGATTTTGTTTCTATATTCTGAAGTAGAAAAGACTTCAGTGGCATGAAATTAGCAACACATTCTGCTAGTGTGTTAATTGTGTGAGAGTTTTTGGCAAGATAATCTCTTAACATGACATAGAATTTATTTTTTATTTAAATTTGGTAGCAATTTCAAGTTGTGTTTAAGGAAAGGCACCATGGCTTAAATCACCCTAGATTTATAGTACATTCAGGAAAAGAAAAAAAAAAAACTGCCTAATGCAGCGGTACAGAAGAAATTATGTAATTTTTTTTACTTAAGCAGGGAAGCTGCTAGATTTGATTTGTAAATCTTTATGAGAAACTGGCATTCCCAGGCAGCAGCTTAGGATGTCCCCAAGACCCAGCACAATGTCCAAGTACAATTGTACCCAGCCAGTTGCAAATTCTCTGCTTTGATAAAAGCAAATACACATGAAAAGCCAAAAGTCAAAATCTCCTAGAGCAGAGGGGCTGCTTTTCCTCTAATGCATAGCCCTCAGGATCCTCCAAAGAGCAGAATGATACTATAGGAACACAACTGTGCCCGTAAATGTGTGGGTAGGGGAAAGTTCCAGAAAGAGGGAGAGTGGGCAGATTACAGAAGACAGTGCACACTTGCCCACATCATAGGGACTGAAGAAAACTCTGAAAGAAAGAAAAGGTAGAGTGACTTTTCTTCTACTGGAAAGATAAGAATACTTCCCATCTGACACAAGTTGTCTAGTTCTGTAGGCTGGCGATATCTTAGATACGGGATTCTTCGTTCAGTCCAGACATGAGCAACTCCTTCATCATTTCCCTTCTTTCCTGGCCTGCTGCCATTTTGCCGTCTGCATGTCGCTCCCCTGCTCATCAGCACCACAGAGCTGTGGTCAGAGAGGCTCCTAGTAACCGTCCTCCTCCCTTCTCAGTACGTCTCAGTCCTCTGGGCTTTTCTTCCTGGTCATATCACTTAGGTAACAAGTCTTTCTCAAGAACAATAAGACCTGAGTTTGTTTCATGGCATACACCAGAAAGACATGAAACAGGACTCAAATCCACCTCTTCCACTTTGTGCCTGTGGAAAGATGATTCCTGTTTGGGTCTAGGTTCAGCACCTGCAGAAGAAAGAAGCATATTTTAGGCAAGAGCTAAAGGAGGTGATGTATGTAAAGCCCTTGGCCCTGGGGCTGCCCTGTGACCCTGTTAGATCCCTTTGCTTCCTGATTCCATGCTCCTGACAGTTACATTATCGTATCCACATGAGGAGCCATCTACCATGCTAAGCTAGGAATGAACAGAGATGCCCTCAGAGGTACCCAAGAACATACAGCCTTAAAGGGCTGGGACAGTATTTCGTGTTTTCTTCTACAAACAGGAAATCCGAGGCTTAGAGAAGAGAAAGACTACTATGAAAGTTATTATTTCACCTTGATTTGTCCAATTCCAAAGACTGTTCTTTTAACTGAATGTTTCTCAACTCTGGCTTTGGAAGGCCTTTTAAAACAAGACCACTGCCCCAGACCTATAGAACAGAGATGAGGGTGAATATATGCAACCTTCAGAAGGTAGAGGAAGAGCACAGTCTGATGCTCAATAAGTGATGGAACCACTGCCTTATGTTCCACTACCCCCTAAACACCCTCAAACAGTGTACATGTGCACAAACTAGGGCTGAAAAGTTATCAGAGGAATTTCAAATATTATATCAGTACTTATCATTGATGAAGGATATTATCTCTGATCTTCAGAAGAATCATACAGAAATGAAATGTCAAATTTTCTAGCTCAAAGAACTAATAGAAACAACTCACTGTCTGGTATATACAAAGAGTGATTAGAAAATACAGTGATGTTTATGTTTAAAAAAATGATTGCAATGAAAGACCTAGTGACACTAATCTTCCTCAAAATCCTCCCCTTACTTTGAACACACTTAAGATCCCTTCATTCTCGTGACTTTCTGAAGCAGTTCTGAAAGTTCTTTTTTGTGAGTCTTTTTACAGAGTGTGATCAAAAATAGAACTGCTGCTTTGGAATTCCATTCCATGGAAAGGAGGGTTGGAAAAATATTACGCTGTGTCTTCATCCGTAGCACATCTGGGCCTATGCCACTTCTGGCTCTTCCACAACGTCAGAATGACTGTGCAAGGAGCTTTGAACCACTTCAGGACACCAAAGTAGCCACAACAGAATAAGCAAAGATACACAAAGGACTTCAAAACTGCTTCAGAAACAAGAACGATGGAATAAGTTTGTTAGGAGCAAGGAGGGATATTTTGAGAGGTAATTAATAGCAGCACTATGTCATCTATTATAAAAATTTTTATTTAAACCCACATCTTATTTTCTGATCACACCTTGTATATACTCTCAAAACAATAGTGCTGTTAATGCCGTTGTCGTCATCACTACCATCTCACCATATTTGCCTTAGGTCCTCCTAGCAGCCCCCCAGACCTGCCAACTTTGTCTCTTTAACATCGTGGGAACTGGTCCACTTCTCATGGCCACTGCTGTCACTCCCTCACCTCTCACCTGGACAGCTGCCACACGTTTTTCACAAATCCTTGCCTCCAACCTCGTCTTCTCCCGTCTTTTTTCTACAAAAAACATGGTGATCATTTCAAAACATGAATACTTATCTGCACTGGCTGTGAAATGGTGGCAACTGTCAGGACCATAAATATGGATTGGGCATTTCCAAAAGAGAAAAGAAACAAGAAAAGAAGAGAAGAGAGAAGAGAAAGAAAAGAGAAGAGAAAGAGAAGAGGAGGGGAGGAGAGGGAAGGAGAAGAGAGGAGAGGAGAGGAGAGGAGAGGAGAGGAGAGGAGAGAACAGGAGAGGAGAGGAGAGGAGAAGGGAGGGGAGGGGAGGGGAGGGGAGAAGAAGGGAAGGGAAGGGAAGGGAAGGGAAGGGAAGGGAAGGGAAGGGAAGGGAAGGGAAGGAGAGGAAAGAAGAGGGGAGGGGAGGAGAGGGGAGGGAGGGGAGGAAAGGTGCAGTCGGGTCAGATGGTGCTGAAATCCTCTCCCCGCCCAGCTTGCCAGGCTCCTAGACTGGGAAACTGCACTGGTCCTGAGCACAGTGTCTCTCTGTGCTTTATGGCCCACAGCAGATGTGATTTGGTTGGGGAAGGAGGCATGTGTTTTTCTAATTCACACAGAAGTTCAAATTTAACAGCTTAACAACGCTGCCCTGACACTGAACCTACTTCACTGAGTCATTGTGCTCTGAGAATGTGAAAATTTAAATAAAACGGAGGCTCCCGGAGGAGTTAAAATTTGAACTCAGGCTGTCAGTCTCTCAAGCGACTACTCTAACCCCTGCTGTTTCCTCTGCTAAGCTGAGAAGCGCTGATGGGGTGGGGGGAGTCTACTGATAGGGAGGAAACTGAGCAGGCCCACTGAGAAAAGCTCCAGCCCGCCAGCTTGCCCCTCCAACCCATGACCGTCCAATCAAAGCAGAGTAAAACTTTTGATGAGGAAATCATAGGAAAGAAGGATTTAGGTGACAGGGAAAATGGTTCTGTTTGGCATCTGACCTCTATTTCAAGTAGATTCACTCCAGGCTACCTATTTGTTAGGTGAAATAGAGATAGATAAGGACATGAGATTTTAATGTGATAATCTATGATTGTTCTTCCCTATCCAATCACTGCTTTACTGGTCTCAGACCGAATGCTTGGCACAGATTTTAGACCTCAAGTTTCCTTAGAAATAATCTAGTCTAATAGCTGGCATCCAAGAGCCCCATTAGAGATGAAGTTCCTCATAGAACCTTTTAATATTTATGAGCTCCTCTGTTAAATTGGCATAAATATCTTTGCCTCTGACTAGAACTTTAGTAATTTAACAGGTGAACATTTTTGCCATCTCAAGCTAAGTCCTGGTTAGTAGCTATATTAATTAATAAAAATGGTTAGGCATGGTGGCTCATGCCTGTAATCTCAGCACTTGGGAAGCTAAAGCAGGAGTATCTTGTGAGTTGAAGACCAGCCTGGGCTATAAAATGAGCTCAATGCCAGCCTGAACTGCATAGTGAGACTTTATCTTAGAAACACACACACACACACACACACACACACACACAAATAAATAAATAAAAATTTAAAAAATAAAAATGAAGATGAAATCACAACGATCCCAAACCCCACTCAGGCTCCGTGGCAGATTCCTGATTCCCAAACTAGGGTTTATTTTTCCATACCATCTTGTCATTTGCATGACATTTATGTCAGTGATGAATTCTGTTTGATATATTTTCAAACCGCTGAGCTTGAATTTCAATACAATAAATCCTTCTGTCAAATTTTATTTTAAAGAAAACAATAGCTATTATAAGCTGAAAACCAGGTCATTTTCCCTCAGTTGAAATTAATACATAAAGCATTGATTGAATGTTAGCTGTCCACCAGTTTCTAAAAACTGAAGGCTGTTCACCCTTTAAGGAAAGTGGGTAGGGGAGGTTAGAAAATATTTGAGAGATATTAAAGGAAATTTGGGCCCAAACCAAAGTTTTTCAGAATATGGAAGGACAATTTAAAAGGGGGAGTTGCTTTTCTTAAAAAAATTATCTTATGTTCTCACTGTCTTCAACCCATGGGAGAAATATCACATTATAGAAGTCGTAAAAAAGTCAGAAATGGAGTCTTTGCCCCATTCCTCTTCCACGTTCTGATTTCATCCCTTTATTCCTCTTGGAGAGACGCCTCATACTTGTCCTTCTCTTTTACCATTTTTGAACCATTCATCTACTTTGTTTCCTGTTACCAGAGCCCTACTTCTGTTTTCCTGGGTCTCAAGCCCTGTGGCTCCCAGCTGGATGGTCAAGTGCTTTGGACCTTGAGGAAGAAGAAGAAACAGGATGAGTGAGGAGGAGCAGGCACTGATGGTGTCGTGTAGAGCACACTACTCTTAACTGGGCCTGTATATTCCCATTCAGAAGCCCTGGTTTACCCCTTTAGTTTCTTTGCAGTTACAACTGTGCTAAGGGGGTGCAACAGAACTTAAGAGATTACACCCTGATAAAGGCCTTCAGCTACTGCCTCTCTTGGCTGTCCTGCTTTTTCCCTGTCCCTCCATAACAGTAGGAAGGCCTAGCCTTACCCATGATCGGCTTTATTCTGTCCTGCCTCGCTCCTCATTCATGAGCTACAACATATTTTGTCATTTGATGATTTGGACTGGATAGGTTATTTAATTACCCATCATTTTCTATTCCATTTACCACCATATGTGGCTGAATTTTGGAAATTTAATCATCTAAAATCACACAGAGCATAGTTCTAGATACCAGGTCTCCTTAGCCTTACTGTTCCAATTCTCCTGCTGTCAGGGTTCCATGTCTGTTTATGCTGTAAAGCCTGAATTTTCTAGAACTCCTGTACCCAGAAACTCTAACATCTGCACTGAGGTTCTGAGACTGGCTGTGTCTTATCTATCTTGCAACCTTTCTGGCTCCCCCGAACCTCTTCTTTTCTGGTGTGATTTAAAATTTGCTTCAGTTCCTCGGATCAGCAGGGTTTGTGACCACTCCCATCCACTGCTATTTTTTTTTCCCTTTTCTTCTTCATTGCTAGATGTTTTAACCTACACAATAGAACAGTTCCAATTCCGGCCTTCCTTCTGCAGCGGAAATACCCCACATTATCTGAGTCCTACAGTTGTTTCACGGTCTTTGTTCCTATCTCCTTTTTAAAATCCATATAAAAAATGAATAACTGGACTGTTTAAACTTCTCTTATATCCCGAGGTGGCAAAACCAGAGAAAGGAAGTTGTCCGTTTGGCTCTGTAGTTGTGTGTGATATAAGAAAGTCCTTGAAACCCGGGGTTAACTGGTCAATCGGGGATAAACATCCTTGTAAACTGATGTTCTATAGATAATAGGAATACAATTGTAGAAAAGCTTTGAGGGGAATAAACATTGTATAATTAATCTAGAGAGTCATTCATAATTAATCTAGAGACTCCTTAATAACAATTTCTATAATATCTCACATTTGACAAAGAGTGAGATTGAGGAATGTTAAAGAAAAACTAGCACCAAACTGAGACTTTCTCGAAACTGTATGAAGTGCAGACCCTTTACAAATTAACTTTCAGAGCCGGGGGCGTAGTGGCTCATGCCTATAATCTGAGGTGGGAGGATCCTTGCAAGTTCAAGACCAGCCTGGGCTACAAAGTGAGCTCATGGCCAGTCTAAACTGCATAGCGAGACCCCATCTCAAAAAAGACCAAAAAAAAAAAAAAAATTAGCTTCCATATCTGCTCACATGCATTCCAGAATAGGGAAAAATCACTGCTTCTATTCAATTTCCAGTATGAACTTTCATTAGATATTCCTTTCTTGTGTTAGAAAAAAAATATCCCTTTGTGAAAATTTCACCTGCCTGTCCTATTCAGTGTTTATTTCCCAGCCACTTAGTAGAGCAAAGTCATGTGTCAGTCATCTGAGGGTTACAAAAATAAATTCTTGTGACACTCAAGATCTTTGCAAAGAGTGGGATACCTAAGACAGATTCTACAAATGAATGGTCAAGTGTAGTGTAAGGTTTTTAAAAGTTACAAATACTTCCACACAGGCTAAAATGAAAATAACAAGAACCAGACTTATCTTCCTTCCTGGAATAACAAAAATAGTAAACAAAATAAATGAAACAATAGTTTTCAAGATGCTGGATATCAGGAAGCAACAACGGAGAACAATTGCCTTTGCAAAACGGCTCTATAAAGCTCATTGTCTTAAGAGAGTTTTCAGGCCCTTGATGCAGGGAATCCAGGTGAAAGAGTCCAGTACTTTCCCCAGGAAAGATGCAAATGAGATTCTTGAAGACTGCTATAGTTTGCAGGATAGAGTACTAAAAAGAGGAGAGAGCTTCTTGGAGAAAGAACCCCCCATGGCCCCCCCTTAAGTACTCAGCAAAGTACTAGTCAGTGGACCCACAAAAGAAAACTACCCAGTGATGAAACTATCACCCACCTCCCACTCAAATTAGAAGGAATAGGACTATGAACAGGGATGTTGCCACCAGTCAGACCAAAAGCCTCCTAATTTGAGGGGCACTGGGTAGAGTGCTCAGAACACTCTTTTCCCAGTAGTGAGAAATAATTCATCCTAGACTAAATACAGCTCTGGATTTCATCTAACAAATCTTAAAAACAAGACCCAAAAGGAACAAACTGTTTATGAGCAATTTAACTGCATCCCAGAACAAAGCTCAAGAATATTTATAGGAATACAAAAATAGCCAGTACCCAACAAAATATGGCATTCCATAAAAAAATTACCAGATACGTAACAGGCAGGAAATTATGACCAATAATGAGAGATGCTCAACTAAAACCAACCCAGAACTGAAATAGATGTTAGAATTAACAGACAAGGACATTCACACAATTACTATGACCATTACATGTGGTTTGATGAGTGAAGAACATGCATTAAAGATATTTACACACCCAAATCGAGCTCCCTGTGATGAGACCTCAATTTCTAAGATAAAAATTAACACCACATGGAACCAGTGGCAGATGAGATGATGCAGGAAAAAAAAAAAAAGGAACTTTAAGACAAAGAAGGAGACATTGTCCCTGATAAAATGCA